GGAATAAAAAAAAAAAAATGGCAGGAATAAAAAAAAAATGGCAGGAATAAAAAAAAAAAATGGCAGGAATTAAAAAACCCCAAAGCTGCAGCTTGGAAACCAAAAGTTACTGAACAGACTTATTGCGAAAGCTCTTAAAAGATTTAAGTAGCACTTGGGCCCGGGGGGGGGCTCTGGCCTGGTCTGGGGGGTTGGGGGGGGCCAAGTGCAGACCCCAGAGGGTGCTGGAGGGGTCAGAGGGGGGGCAGAGACCCCCAGAACCCCCCCAGGGAGGGGCAGCGAGGCCACAGACACCCCAAAAATCCCCTGGGCAGCTGAGTTTGGGGGGGCTCAGGGGGTGGGAGCTGCTCCCGGGACCAGCCTGTGAGCCCTGGTGGTGTTGGGGCTCCGGTGCCCACCCGGTGCCAAGGGGGTGTCCCTCTGAACGGGGGTCCCTTCCCCCTTTCTCCCCGGGCAGGGCTGGTTCTGGGGGGCTGCCCGGGGTGCCCTGGGAGCGGGGAGGGCTGGTGGGACGGGGCTGGCGCTGCCCAGAACCCGGGAAAAGGGGCAGGGTGGGCTCAGCATCGCCCGGGCCAGGGGTCCACAGAGCCACGGGGGCACCCCCCGAGCCCCCCCCGGTGCCCCCAGGGGCTGATCCCGGGGCGGGTGCCAGGGGAGATGTTCTGGAGAGGGGGAGCTGCCGCGTCCTGGTGCACGTGGAGCGCCCGGGCCAGGGTGGGCACCGGTCCTGGGGGACACTGAGGCTCTCCAGGGACCCCCAGCCAAGCCCTGGGACCCCTCCACAAAAATCCCCCCCCCCGGGCACGGGGGGTCTGAGGCGTGGGGAGCGGGATGGGCATGGAGACGCTGGCGGACAGACGGACAGGGCTGTGGATGGACACCACCTTCTTCTTCTTCTTCTTCTTCTTCTTCTTCTTGGCTTCTGGGTTCGGAGTTAAAAAGGCCGAGGGGAGCCGGGGTTGGGGAGCCGGGGCTGGCCCTGCCCCGGCCCCTGTGCGTGTGTGTGTCGTCCCTCGAGTCTCTGGGCGGGCGCGGGGGCATCGCCCCGACCCGGGGGCATCGCCCCGGCCCGGCTGCCCTGCCCTGCCCCGCCGGGCGGGCGAGGCCGTCGCTCGTGTCCGTGTGTCCCTCGGTGCCGAGGAGGGAGCGAGGGCCCCGGGGCCGTGTCCCCCCCTCCGGGGGAAGGGGCAGCTCCGCACGCAGGGCTTTGGTAGCTCGGGTTGTACATCCAGCGACGTCGGGTTAGCAGGTGAAGTCCTCGAAGGTGCCCCGGGCCGGGTGGTGAGGTAGGATGTTGGCTGCGTACGTCATCCCTGCCGGGTGCCCCCGTATGCTCTCGCAGGGGTTCTGGGGGGTAACGGGACGTTGGGGTCACCCAAATCCCCGCAGAGAGCGAGCTCTGGCTCCCCAACAGCACATGGGGCTGGTCCCGCTGCTCCTTCCCCGAGTGCTCCTCGAGCTGGGACCTCCCGTCCCACGGCACCTCCTGGGTAGCCCCAAAACACTGACCCCACAGCTCCTCCCGGGCAGCCCCAAAACAGTGACCCCACAGCTCCTCCCAGGCAGCCCCAAAACAGTGACCTCACACCCCACAGCTCCTCCCGGGCAGCCCCAAAACAGTGACCCCACAGCTCCTCCCAGGCAGCCCCAAAACAGTGACCTCACACCCCACAGCTCCTCCCGGGCAGCCCC